CCCCCCCCCCCCACCTCTCCCCCTGCTGCCACCACCACTTATGTTCCCATCACAGCTCTGTCTCTGGCACTGTTGGGGCCTGCTCTGTCCTGGGGTAGGGAGCACAGAGCAGATGCTGCCTCCAGCCCCAGCCTAGCCATATAGCAGCTTCTGCTCCAGCCCTGGAGCTGGGGTCAGAGCTGCCACCACCACTGCTATGTGGCTGGACTGGGCCGGAGGCAGTACCTGCTCTGTGCTTTCTGCCAGAGCTAGAGAGGACAAGTAAGCAGGGGTGGTAGGGAACAAATATTGGGAGCAGAGGCTAAGAGAGACAGGTGACAGGGGGTCAGATTTGGAATTGCAGCCACAGCTGCTTCTCCCTGGTCTGATCCCCTGCTTGTATGTGAATGTAAGATGAGAGGCTTTCCTGTATGTTAAGGTGGGAGAAGAATCTTGTCTTGGATTCAAGTAAATATAGTATTCATGACTTCTGAAATAGCTGCTTTTTCAAGTAGCATATTTGTTGGTCTACCACTGATCGGGCAATTGAATTTTGGCTGTTGATGCATGGTGTTTTTTTTAAATAGTAAATCTTTGAAATATAGTCATATGGCTTTGTGTGGCAATGTTGCCTACCCCTGTTCTCATTGCCTATTGACAATTATCCTAGATGGTTCTTGTCCCTGACAGATAAATTCTTTATTTTCTAGTTGCAAGTTGAACAGATGTATGAGGAGAGGCATATAGTACCTTTCCTATCATCCTTCAGAATGGCAATTTCATTGGGTCTCAAATGGCATGTCATACTTGAGAATATGTGATTTAGTCCAGTCTTAACAACAGGAAAATATAGTTACTTGCTTTTTCTGTATGTTTAAACTCTTTAAAAAATGTTTTCTACAGTACTTTGTGTAGGATAATATGAAGTTGAAAATCAGGGGAAGCTCATTTACTGCAAATAGTATGAATAATAGTTTTTGAGGGAATGTACACCTGGGAGGTACATTGCTTTTAATTTATACTACTGTCTTAGTCTGGATTTTCAGCAAAGGAACCATTTTCTGGCCAGGTTCTAAGATTTAAACAGGCTAGATTACAGCTGCCACACTGAATATCAGTTATCTACTCTTTGTTAGGATGAGAGATGATTTACTAATTCTTCCAGTTTTTTTAATTTGACTGAGAACAGGAATGATGTACTATCAACCTTAGTAAGAATCAGTGGGAAATAAAACTAATTTAGTTGTAGAGGTTTAACAGGCTTGCTGAAACAAACTGCAACAGAGAAAAAAAGAGTACTTGGTATAAGAGTAGACAATTTAGAATAGTTATGTCGGCAAGGAACAAAAACTCTGTCTAAAGCAAAAGGGAAATTACTGCCACCTTTAGAGTTATTCTGTAAGTGAAGTGTAGAGAATAAGTAAAGGTATAAAGGCAAACCAAGACTTTTAGATAAAAGGAAAACCATAGTTTTAGCATTGAAGTTAACCATCTATTTTAAAATGATTTTATTCAATGAAGAACAGATTTAATATCAGTCATTTTTATTTTAATCAGTTTTGCATTAAGTTGTGTACAAATTGACTGTAAGGAAGACATCCAAGAAGACTCAGGCTAACATCAAACTGAATCTAGGGAAGATAAGATACCTAATACTTTGCTATGTTTTACCTTTTTCTGCTTATTTGACCTCATTCCCTCTTTCCACTTAGGTTTGAAATGTGAAATTTGTTACTTTTGGGGGACCTGCTAGGATTCTTTTTGGATGATTTTAAAGGATCCTATGGTAAATAATTTGGCATAGACAACTCGAGAGAAACATTTCTGTATTTGGAACTTAGCCCAAATCGAGACTAAAATTTTGAAGTGTTGAACTGTTTAAAGGGTGTAACTGCATGTGAGGCTGTTCCAAACTCTGATATAGACCTGCCAATAGCCTCTCTTTGGCCAGGGTACTCCCAGGGTTTGAAAATATATCTTGTATCTGCAACTGTGGTTCTGGCTGCTGTCCCAGGACTATGTGGCCAAACAAAGGCCTTTTTCTCTTTAAGACCATCTCTCCCACTTTCCTTATTTCCCCCCTGCTGACATTTCTAAAACTAAAGTAATCTAGAAAAACACTAGACTGTTCAGACCAATCTGGTAGTTGATGGCCTGACAGCTCGCTAATCTGGTGAAATATTTCAGATGTTAGCAACTACAAGTGAGCAGGTGCCAAACATCTTAAGAGAACTCCAGCAGCTTCAAGGTCTTACTGACATAATGTAAACTGTTAATGAACTTGTTACACTTAAGATCCCTGCCTAGACTAATGTCATAATTGTGGTGTTGCTGTATATTAAAGCCTATCAATTTCAAGCAGGATTTAGGGGGATTGCAAGCTCATTCATTTTAAAGCTCTATCAGTCTGTTCTGCTGAAAAGTCAACTCCTTGCTAGTTTTAACTGTGTGACAGTTTAAAGCCATTTTCTTTTAAGTACATGCAAGTTGTCAGGAGGAGGGAAATGCCTGTGGGCTCTCTCCATATGAAAGTCATGTCTCCACACCAAATTCATTGTTGGTATTTAATAAAGAATGCATTCAAAATGGCATCATAAAGAGTTTTTCTAAAGAGGTACAAGTTCATTATATCTTTTACAAAACATTCTAGTTTGATTTCCATTTTACCATGTTTTAAGGTCAAATGTGACCTTAATGTTCTATAAAGAGACAGAGATTGATAATGGGGAAGGAATAACCCTCTAATGTGATTTATATCTATGGATTTTATGTCAGATATGAAAAGTTGCTGTTCAAATTGTAAAGGAGGATCCATTAAAGAGCACTTTAAAACATTTTACTACTTAGCTTACCTTGGACACTTGTTTTTAGAATTCTGCCCTTTCAAGCAACTTAAAAATAACAGCTTATCAAACATTTACAAAGTGCTGGTGAAGAGAATTCAAAATTGTCATGGGTGCAAGATAGGTTAATGTATTGGAGAAGATGGCTATATTTAAAAAGAGCTATAAAAATCTTGTATAGTGTTTGTCATGACTTAGCCATCTTATTTTTTTGATGGGGAGGGGATGGTGGAATGCTGGGTTTAGGAGTACAAAAGGTAATTCCTGATAATGTTTCATTGAACTGCAAAGTCTGCTGCCTGTGCTTCACGCTTTCTGGATTTCTGTTCATCAGGTGAGCATTGTTCTGAGAGCTGGAACAGGGGATATTCAAAATATAGCAGGGAACATTTACAAGGAAATTTGTAATCAGTATATCTTATTGTTAAAACTGAAAGGTGTTTCTAATTTTTTTTCTTTTTTTTCCATTAGTTCATTTTGACAATGAAAATGTCTGAAAAACTATGTTGAATTTGTTACTCATGGGCTTTTCCCCATACTTTTTAATTCTATTCACACTTGTTGCAATTAAGACGATTGACTGATAAAATTAATCCTTTGTAGGTATCATAGCACAAAGTTCCATAAAATGCTTTCTATGTCAGGAAAGTTGTGATCACTTAACAAGTACCTAAACTTAGAACAATTGTGCTGACATCTTCTTTGTCTGTTCTTCACAAGGAAAAGGCATTTTCTTTCTCTCTCTTTCTTTTCCAGACATTTGTATCCATTCTGCTAACTCGGTCATAACATAATCCAATCATTGACAAAGGCTGAAGTGCTTTGTCTGACATACACTATCTGTAGAATTGCCAGGTGAAAACTGAGATTAGAAATGGGAAGTGTTGATGTGGGGAGAAGCTTTCATTGCCTATATCCATAATTATATCTGAGCTGTATTTTAATTGGCTTCAGGCTCCAGGACTGTAAATTGTTACTTTTCAAGAGTGCTATATCAATAACTTTTTTAAAAGAAGAAACACAAAGGGGAACAAAAGTAGCAGCAAGAACAAAAAAATATTGTAGCAAAGAATCCTTCACCCTTTCATTTTTTGTGATTTAGTTCTTGTTAATGGTTAGGTTTGACTACTGTGAAAAATGCAGTATTTTTATGCAACTGATAAGGTACAGAAAGAAGAAAGTTTAGCTTTGCCATAACAGCTTGCTATTGTAACACAACGATAAACTGAAGAACCATATCTACAGGTGAAAAGTGGCCTCAGTCTTACATCTAGATAGTTTTTTGCAGATGACATTTTGGGAAGGAAGTTTCATGTAGTTAACAACCTTAAATAGCTAACAACCTATTTAGTGTTCTTTATTTGTGAGGCTTTACTTTGAAGACCTGAATAACAGTTAGGTGTCAATATGGGCTTGTGTGCTGAGAATATGAAAATCTCTTCTTAGGTTTTACAATTTCAGGTTGACACAGATAGCAGTTAAATGGCCATTGAATTTGGGAGGCTTTGGGCATTTAACTGGTATATAATTCCTTTTGTAAATCTGTCCTTGTGTGTTATAATCACAGTCTCTTCTTATTCTTCAAGTGTGATGGAATTGGTTGTGCCTAAATGTTTAATTTTGCTATCACATTAATAATGTTTAAAAAATAGCTTGGGGGTACGTTGTAATGGTTAATGCATATGGTTGGCCCAGGTTTTATAGTTGACTTAGCTGTAGACAACTGGCTTACTGTCCTATGGACAATTGCTCTACACCTCAGTTTGCACATCTGTAAAGTGGGGATAATTCTTACCTCAAAGGATTTTGCAAGACAAACTCATTTTTTGAAAAGTGCTTTAAGGAGTTCTGTTGGATGATTGTAAATGTGCAAGATAGTAAAAAAAAATAAAATAAATTTTTTTTTTTTTTAGTCACTGTGCGCCCAGTATTCTGCTGATAAACGAGAAGAAGAAAAAATGTGTGATCATTTGATTAGAGCCGCCAAGTACCGGGACCATGTGACTGCAACCCAACTAATACAGAAAATTATCAACATTCTGACAGACAAGCATGGAGCCTGGGGAAGTTCTGCACCAAG